ATTTTACCTAGTTGTGTATTTTGCCAGTACATTGAGGCTCTGCAGTTTGCAGCCCAGTAGAAGTGACAGAAGTTTGGTAGGCTGAGGCCGCCGGCAGATTTGGGTTTGTTGAGATGTTTTTGAGAAATACGGTGCACTTTAAAGCCCCACACAAAGGGTAAAATTATTGAGTCTAATCGTTTGAAGAAGGATTTGGGGAGAAAGATGGGCAAATTCTGAAAGAGATAGAGGAATCTAGGGAGAGTCACCATTTTAATTGCATTTACCCGGCCTATCATAGATAATGGTAACGTTCTCCAAGTTTCAATATTGGATTTTAACTTCCCAATCATATCGAGGAAATTTAATGTATATATTAACTTGGGGTCTTTAGGAATAGTAACTCCCAGATACTTAAATTTATCAGTGACAATATTAAATGTCAGGTTTGAAAGAAAATCCGGGTCCAGGTTCCCTGTAAGGGGCATGAATTCACTCTTATCCCAGTTTACAGTGTAACTGGAAATTTCACCAAACCATCCATCCATCCATCCATCCATCCATCCATCCATCCATCCATCCATCCATCCATCCATCCATCCATCCATCCATCCATCCATCCATCCATCCATCCATCCATCCATCCATCCATCCATCCATCCATCCATCCATCCATCCATCCATCCATCCATCCATCCATCCATCCATCCATCCATCCATCCATCCATCCATCCATAAAAACAGGACCACATCATCTGCATACAGCGAGATGTGATGGTCAACTCCCCCTAAAATTAGTGGGGTAACAGAAGGGTGGTTCCTAATACTGATGGCAAATGTTTATATTGCAATAGCGAATAATAATGGGCTAAGGGGGCAACCCTGTCGGCAAGATCGTTGGAGATTGAAGGCGGGAGACCGGTTGTTGTTGTTGGTAATGACAGAGGCAGTGGGGTGGGCATATAGCATTTTGACCCAGGAGGTGAAATGGGCACCTAAGACAAAACTCCCTTATTGTAGTTAATAAGTATGACCACTCGACTTTGTCAAATGCTTTTTGGGCATCAAAAGCGAGAACAGCAATTTTAAAGTCTACTAAATTTGGTGTACATGATTTTCAGCAGATGCCTGACGTTGAAGAAGAAAATCTACCAGGAATTAATCCAGTTTGGTCTGCGTGAATTATATCTGCAATGCATATGTTTAGTCTGTTTGCAAGAATTTTGGTTAACACCTTAAGATCACAGCAAAGAAGGGCAATAGGTCGATAGGAGGAGGGATCTCTCTGTTTTTTGTCTTTTTTTAAGATGAGAGATGTTGGCTGAGTAGAGTGTTTCAGGGAGTAGACCGATTGATACTGAGTGATTAAACATTCTTAGCATGAAAGGAGCTATAATGTCTAAGTATGCTTTGTAAAATGATGATGCAGAATTGTAAATAGAATTCATAGTTAGTTACCAAAGTGTGTTAAACCAAAGTGTGGTGAACCATAAACTGTTATCTAAGTGTGTTAAATAATGGTCTGCTTGACAGGAGTAGGTACTCCTAAAAGGTTTTTTACAATGTAGGTCCATAAAGGATGAGGTCTGTTTCTCATCAAGTATGGGAATCGGATGAACTTTGCCCTGAGAGTAAACCTTAAAGAAAAAACAACTGCCCAGTACTTGTGAAACTTTCTCAATAAAAGGAGCTGCAGTCCTCATACACTTTGGGACTTAGGTGAGCCAACTCTGCGAAGCTGGCTTCGTGGGATATGGTGTGTCCTCGTATGATGGCTTTAAAGGCCTCCCACAGAGTGGAGTCATTTACATCAGAGGTGTTGTTTTGACGAAAGTATTCTATTATTTTGCTAGCAGTTTGTTGGCAGAATTGTACATTGTTAAGTAGTAAAGGGTTGAACCGCCAGTTGAACACAGGCTTGGACCAACCAATATTTATTTTGATTTCGACAGGGCTGTGATCAGAAATTATGATATTTGGAGGTGACCACATCCGCAGCCAAAGTGGCATCAGTCAAAAAGTAGTCAATTTTTGTGTACGATTTATGTACACTAGAAAAGAAAGAAAATTCCTTGTCTATTGGGTGCTGCAGCCATAAAAAGAGTTTTTGACCACGAAAAAATCGACAGCCATGCGTCCGAGTCGTCCTGCATCACACCATACATCGACAATACAAAAACGCAACGTGGAGTCCACAGGTGGTTGGAGGCACGACGCGACGTTGCGCGGATTTGAGTTACACAACCATACTTTAACAATTGTTGTTGAGCATCTTCTAATTGTGATAACATCATTGTTGACTCCCAGTGTGCTTCAGTTGTCTGCCAACATGTGTTCTGTGGTTTGGCTTTATAAATTCGGTTCGAGCTCAGTAAGCACAACCAAAAGTAATACATAAGGTGCACCGGGTTATAAGGCGCACTGTCGATTTTTAAGAAAATTACAGGTTTTTAAGTGCGCCTTGTAGTGCGGAAAATACGGTATATATGTTTTGTGCCAAATATAAATGAAGTCAATAATATGGTTTTCCTCCTCATTCTCCTGTAGATATGAGTATCATTGGGCCGATGGCACAAATATTAAGAAACCCATCAAATGCTCAGCTCCCAAGTATATTGATTACCTGATGACCTGGGTGCAGGATCAGCTGGACGATGAGACACTTTTCCCCTCCAAGATTGGTACGTTTGTTTGAATATTAAACTTTACTACACACCTCTTCAAGTATATGATTGTTTTTAAACATTGATTACAGAGTCAGCACCTCGTATTCAAACATAAATGAAACGTTTAGTTTAGTTTTTTTGTTATTGTGAATGTTAAGTGTGTTCCAGCCTGTATGGATATGTTGGATTTCAAGCTTGTCTTCAGGCAAAGTTGGCAGACATTATTTAATTGAAATTTGAATTTTCACTTTCTCCTTGAAGAGATTTGAGAAGTTAGTCGAGTGTTTGAGCTGTCACTGGTGAAAGCATCATAATAAAAAGAGTACCAGGGTTGTTGCCTATTTATAAGGGAGAGACAAAGAACAGTGAATTTTTAATCTTGAGCTGGGAATACTGTGAGGGTGGAAGCAGACCATATGCTAAAAATACCTTCCTCTCTATCAAAGTGCATGGGAAAACCTAAAATAACTAAATGTATTTGTTTGTTACAAGCAGACCAGGCAAAGTAGTCTAATGTTATTGTCAGTCTCTTGATTTCACTAGAACTGATTATGTGGCTCACGTGGACCTGGGGTCCGTTTCTTGAAGCAGACTCACGAAAGTCACAGCTTTGGCTTCCGGAAGCCGGAGAGATCCAACTCTGACTTTCCGGTTTCACAAAAGCGACATACAATTAGCCCCCGGAGTTAAGTCTGAGTGGCGCTCGTGCCCGACTACATATGAAGGCAGTGGTGGCCTAGTGGGGGCAGTGGTGTGGTGGCCTAGTGGTGAAGGAGGCGGACTTCGGTCCGGAAGGCCCCAGGTTCGAATCCACCAACTAAAGGAAGCGGACTTCGGTCCGGAAGGCCCCAGGTTCGAATCCACCAACTAAAGGAAGCGGACTTCGGTCCGGAAGGCCCCAGGTTTGAATCCACCAACTGCCAGGTTGCCACTGAGATGCACTGAGCATGGCATCGTCCTCAAGCACTGCTCACCGGGCGCCGACCACGGCTGCCCCCTGTTTACTTTGGTGTTGGGTTAAATGCAGAGGGTAAATTTCGTTGTGCATGGTGTGCTGTGCTGTGCTGTGTCGCAATGACTAATAAAGATAAGATACGTTTTTTTTTTTTTAAGATACGAAGGCTGCACATATCACGAACCATGTCATGTCCCGCACCTTTTGCTTCACTCCGGTGGAAGTAGAAATACTGTTGCATGCCTATAACGATTACGCCACGCTGTAAAATAAAAAGGGCAACAGCGTGAAGACAGGCACAGCCGCAGAAGACAGGAAAAAGACTTGGTAAAAGATTACAGATAGAGTGAATGCGTGAGTATTGATGAGAAAGTTATTCATCCTTGTTAATTGCAGAACTGTTCAGCCTAAGTGTGTAAAATTATCAATATATACAGTATATCTTGCTGTGATTTTTAATCCAGATTTAACCCAACAGGGATAAAAATTACTTGGCAGCAAATTAAGACCAAATACAAAAATATTGTTCAAACAGGGAAGAATAACTTCTGCCCCCTATTGGAGATAATAGATCAGTATGATCATCTTCCCAGACGTTAGTTGTGTCTTCATACAGTATGTCCGAATAATTCTGCTGTGTTCTGTGGACTGTTAGGAAAATTACATTCACATGACACATGGCAGTTTTCTGTATGAAATTATAATTTAACCCTCCTGTTACCCTCAAATTTTCTATTATCCTTGGGGTCAATTTGAACCCAGCCATTTAAATCTCAAGAAAAAGGATTATAATTCAAAATATTACCCAACTTTTTGTGTCAGGTACTTCAGGTTTTTTGTTGTTTAAAAAACCCTTCCAATATAACAGCCCCCTCCGCACCCCCCATGTATCCAAAACACCTCATCCATGACTATACGAAAATAGGAAAATAGCCATAAAATCTCACTGATTGATCTAAAACTGGAAAGAAAGATATTGTTGCTACTTCAGTACCATCATATCATCTCTCAATACAGATTTCTGTCATTTATAACATGTTATAAGAAAGGCAGTTTTGGTTATCAGTCATACTTACATCTTTTATCCTCGGGGTCAAATTGACCCCAGAAAAAAACAGACACAATTTCAAACATTTAGATTTTTTTAAAAACATTTTCTTGTAACTTCATAACATTTGGTAGGTACAATACAGTAAAACTATTCCCAAAAAGGACAATAGAACATTAGGAACTTTAATGAATCAGAACAGCATATCTTTAAATAGACAAATGTTTTTTTTATATTTTGGACATGACTAACTGCTCACCTGGTGGGGCCTGGAAGCATTTTGATTACAGCAGCAGCACTACATCTTTCATGCTGTTCAGGTGGGGAGACAGACGATACACAATATCTTTCTTTTTTTGGACAGCAACGTGTCTGTTTGAGTTTGTGATGCCACAGGACGATCATTCTCCTCTCCCTCATCAGATAATATTTCATAGTTAGGATCCTCCTCAACATTATCCTTTGTCTCTGAAACATCATCATCATTCTCCGTAAACATAAGAAAGCTCTCTAAAGTATATAAAAGTGTGTGTTATGATGACCTTAAGGTTAGCTAAAACAAATAAAGCATATGTGAAAATGATTATACAATAATGCAACATGTTATTAAATGTTTTATACAGCTAAATCAATTTGGGGTCAAATTGACCCCATGGAACACGGATGTATACAACATGCATACAGGACATCAAAAAAATATTATATGTTACATTTAAGTTTACCCAGTTCCCCTCACTTAATTAGGAAAAGTCACAAAAGATTAAGCAAAAAAGATGTGTACTTTGTTGATTGTGAGATGTTAAATATTGAATGGGGTCAAATTTACCCCAAAGATAATAGGAGGGTTAACTGCTGTCAACTACTAATTTAAATACTCCATCCATTCATCCATTTTCATCCGCTTATCCGTTACCGGGTCACGGGAGCAGCAGTCTCCACGACCGCCACCCAAATCACACTGCACCGTACCAAACCCCCTGAACCTTCCTGCGTGTGGTGAGTCCACTGGACGGTACCAATCGCTCTAACCGGGATGCGATCTTGCCCAGGAGGTGAACCCTGGGGTTCTACACCAATGACAGAGACATTGCCTCTGGGCCAAAGCGCCACTAATTTAAATACTCTTTGTATTTGGTCATAAGTCTCTTTGCTGATGTGTTGCAGTCGTGATGGACCAATGTCACACTTTTCTTCACACAGCACTGCTGGAAGTGTGAGTTTCAGTGCAATGATAACACTCCGCTCACATCGGCAGACTGTTGCCTCGAAAGAGTTTTCAGCATCACGGTTGTTATAAAGGAAATTACCGCAAAAAACGAAGTGAAATACAAAGTATTTGCTCCGAGCCAGGAGCAAGACTACGATGAGTTTGGCGAATGAAATGTGGGCTGATAAACAAATTAATTTTTTAATAGATTGTGAAGAAAAACACTCCAACAAAAAACTCTCGGGTAGTGCTAAAATATCTAGTCGTGGTCTCAGGATTCTCTCCTGGCATCAATTTCTTCTAAGCAACTGAGCTGCGATGTCCACAGGCTCCTCAACAAACAGCCACGCCCTGCATATGGTTACGGACTGACTCCTTAACTCCTTAAGGACCTTAAAACTTGCTCCACGTCAACCTAGTCAGCGTCTCGGTCTAGCCGGCTTTGTGAAACCGGAAAGTCAGAGTTCCCTCTAATATGGAGTTAACTAACTGATTTAGCACAAAGCCCGCTTCAAGAAACGGACTCCTGGACTGAGGCCTAACCTGAGTGAATGTTGAAAACAGCATATCCTCAGCCTAACGTCTTCCTCCTTCTCCTTCTCCTCTCCTGCAGGAGTTCCTTTTCCTAAGAACTTCATGTCTGTGGCCAAAACCATCCTGAAGCGTCTGTTCAGGGTTTATGCTCACATCTACCACCAGCATTTTGACTCTGTGATGCAGCTTCAGGAGGAGGCTCATCTCAACACATCCTTTAAGCATTTCATTTTCTTTGTTCAGGTAACTTTGTCAATCACACAACATGACATTTAAACACTGTTGTTTGTCCCTCATTTGTGTAACTGAAGTCGTTTCTGCGTCGTCCTGCAGGAGTTCAACCTGATCGACAGGAGAGAGCTCGCTCCCCTGCATGACTTGATCGAAAAGCTTGGATCCAAGGACAGTAGATGTTCCAAAACAAACTTATTTTGTCTTCTTTTTTTTAACTGTTTCCTCTTCTTCTCTGTCAATCCGTGTGACCTCTGCTACCTCTTTATTCATTTCATCTGCTTTTGTTTCCTCTTTCGTCTTTCATGCTTCTGTTTAGCTTCTATCGTATTGCAGTGTACAAAATAACTTCACAGGACCATTAGGTTTTTGGGTTCTCCATTGAGATTTTACTTTGGACCAAGAACATTAGGAATTTAAATTAAAATGTAATGGTTAATTATTAATAATGGTTAGTTATTGAGTTTTTTTTTATTTCATTTACTTTACATGTTGTAATTAAATGGACTGACCAACAATCCCATCATGAGACTTTTTAAAAATTCTATCACAATTGTACAGATGGGAAGGTTTACAATCTTTAAAAAAAATGTGTCCAATAGCATTTTTGCTCTGCAACACAAGGTGGTTGACATCACATTTACAGAGTATTTCAAATTTATGAAAAAGTGAAGTGAGATATCGACCCCTGCCCTGTGTTAGCCTGCTTCTTTATTTGGTTGTACGATATTGTTTTTGCAAATTTTCAAGTACTTTTTCTTTCATTGAAATAGTTATAACAGAGATGTAGCTGCAATATTACTACAATATACTTAATCTGCTAGATATTATAAATAGCCACTAAATGCTTGTATAATTTCTTTTATAAAGGCTTTGTATGGAAGAAACATTACTTTGAAAGCAAGAATAGTTCAATGTGAATTTTTTAACTGTCAATTGAGTTCATTTCTGTGGTGCTGAATAATTGTAAACCTCTCCGTTTGTTTCCAATGCTGGTACTTATCTTTCTTTCCACATAACATTTCCCATTGAATTGATAAATGGAATAATAATTATTGCACGTTTTGAATGACAGACGAATTACCTGAGCTGTGTGTTGTTTTTTTTTGTTTTTGTTTTTTAATGAGGGTTTTGGCTGTTTTTGCTGCCATCCTTATGAAATCAAAGGCACCTAATATTTCTGGTGCATGTCCTTTTCCACATAAATCCAAATTCTTATTAGACAATCATGTGGCTCACTAAGAGCTGTTGTATAACTACAGTGGGGGAATTAAGTATTTGGCGCCTTGCTGATTTTGCAGGTTTGCCCACTTACAAAGAATGCAATGATCTATAATTTTAATCATATGTATATTCTAACAGTGAGAGACAGAATCACAAAGAAAATTCCAGAAATTCACATCATATGAATTTATAAAAATGATAACCATCTGATGAGTAAAAAAACAAGTATTTGACCCCCTACCAAACAGCAAGTATTCTGGCTCCTACAGGCCAGTTGGTCTTTCTTTAAGACTCATCTCCAATCCAAACTAATTATCTACATTAAATACACCTGCCTCACCTCGTTACCTGTATAAAAGACACCTGTCCACACCCAAACAACCACCATCCAACATCTCCACCATGGGCAAGACCAAAGAGCTTTCTACGGACATCAGGGACAAGATTGTTGACCTGCACAAGGCTAGGATGGGCTACAAGAGAATTGGAACGCAACTTGGAGAGAAAAGATCAACTGTCGGTGCAGTAATCAGGAAATAGAAAAAGCACCACACCGCCTCGATCTGGGCCTCCACAAGATCTCGCCTCGTGGGGTGTCCCTGATCATGCGAACAGTGAGGAACACCATCCCCACTGTCAAGCGTGGTGGCAATATAATGCTTTGGGGGTGCTTTTCAGCCAAGGGGACGGGACACCTCCATCGCATTAAGGGGAGGATGGAAGGCGCCATGTACCGTGGAATTCTGGACAAACACCTCCTTCCCTCAGTGAGAGAGCTGAAGATGGGTCGAGGATGGGTGTTTCAGCACGACAACGACCCTAAGCACACCGCCAAAGCAACAAAAGAGTGGCCGAAGAAGAAGCACATCAAGGTTCTGGAGAGGCCTAGCCAGTCTCCAGACCTGAATCCAATTGAAAATCTTTTAAAAATTCGAGTTGCCAGACGACAGCCTGGGAACCTGAATGATTTGGAGGCTGTCTGCAGGGAGGAATGGGCCAACATCCCTGCCGAAATGTGTACAAACCTTGTCACAACTATAAAGACAGTTTGACATCTGTGCTGGCCAATAAAGGCTTTTCTACAAAATATTAACATGCTGTTTGTCCAGAGGGTCAAATACTTGTTTTTCCTCATCAGATGGTTTGGAAAAAAATTATAAATTGTTGCATTCCTTGTAAGTGGGCAAACCTGCAAAATCAGCAAGGGGCCCAATACTTATTTCCCCCACTGTATGCATCATTGGATGCATACTTTTATTTTATTTTTATTTTTCAAGTAACCACTATCCAAGACATGCCATTCTACTTTTGTTTTCAACAATTTCACAAAATCTGTTGATTTACTCTATTTGAATGCACATTTATCATTGTGTCACATGTTTCAATTCTTTTTAAATATTATGGTGGAGTAACATTTTATATTTCATTGCAAAGTAAGTTGTTGACTCAGCCTTTTCAATAAGCAAATATCAAGCTGCAATTAATGATAAATTGTAATAGATATTTACAACAATTGAACAATGAAGAGATGGTCATGTTGACTGGGGAGCGAGCCAGAATGTGTGTACTTATTTCCAAATGTGCCTTAATTGTATCAATGTTTTAATATGAACTGTGCCTTACAGAAATGAGCAAGTCTGACACTGACAGTATTGGTATATCAAAAACTCAATAAACACAGAAATGACAAATATATACTGTGGTGATTTTAACTCTATGAACATGAAGGAATAAGAATGTGACTGATTGTAATAAACAAAAATTACTTACTAGTAATAATACTAAATACCGTAATACTGTACTTTTTTAATGAGCTGTTGATGGTTCACATTTGTGTTGAATTACAAACTACAAGTTTGGTGAGTGTTTCTGTTCTAGGCAAGCAGGTATTTAACATGCTTAAAATAATAATACAAGTGCTGTGCGACATGAACAAACGGCCAGCAAGACAGCATAGTGTGTGTTAAGGATTCAGAATTCAATTTCAGCAGTCCTCTACAGAAACTTGGATGTCACCAGTCTAAGACACGGCAACATTTGGAGACAAACAACCATTATGCCTCACATTCATTGCCATGGTAAATTTAGAGTGTCCAGACAAGCCCAATCCTCAATATGTATGTTTTTGGACTGTGGAAGGAAGCCGGAAGGACCAGAAGAAAATCCACCAATGTAATCTTCAAATTTACATTTATGCATTTCGCAGAAGCTTTTATTCAAAGCGACTCACAAGAAGAGGATTAACAATCAAGCAACAATTTGTGAGATGAGTTTGTTGTTAAGGGTCTCTGATCAATAGAATTGACATTTAAAAATGTATATTAAGTTTGGATCACGTCAATCAATAAAGGATCTAAAATCATAATTGTGGATTCCGGAAAGCTTTTACAAGCGCACCTTATGCTCAACCAATTAAAAACCTTTAAATTATATAATATTATATAATTATAATATTTTTATTGTATTGTTTCTGTTACTAAACCAATACGAAATGCCTAACGTTAAAGCAAATTTTGTGTGAATTTGAGAGGAACAATGTAGGATCCACTTGGATGACCTGACAGACTTTAACAGAGGCTTAAACATTGTGTTTGTGTTGTTGTTGTTTTTTTCGGTTAGTAACAAGTAGTTATCGGAAGACCGACTCTTTTTACTAATTCGGATCTTTGACTCTCGAACAGTAAAATGAATTGAACGAATCATTTCATTCGTTTTACAGCAGGTGGCGCTTTAGCCCTATTGTGGGCGTTGTAAAGAATGCTGCGGTTCTCCGACACTAAATACTAAAGGCAACATGGTTTGCTTCCGATGACAAAGTCTACAAAATACACAAAATGCCATACAAACAAAGCGAAAGATTCGTTCACAGAGAGTGATTCGTTCACAGCGAAAAATTTGTTCACGGCGAATGATTAGTTCACAGAGAATGATTCGTTCACAACGAAAGATTAGTTCACGGCGAAAGATTAGTTCACAGTGAAAGATTCGTTCATAGCGAAAGATTAGTTCACAGTGAAAAATTAGTTCACAGAGAATGATTCGTTCACAACGAAAGATTAGTTCACGGCGAAAGATTAGTTCACAGTGAAAGATTCGTTCATAGCGAAAGATTAGGTCACAGTGAAAGATTAGTTCACAGCGAAAGATTAGTTCACAGAGAGTGATTCGTTTGCAATGAAAGATTAGTTCACAGTGAAATATTAGTTTGCAGAGAGTAATTCTGGTTCGTAGTGAAAGATTAGTTCACAGTCAAAGAGTAGTTTGCAGAGAGTAATTCTTGTTGTCAGTTTAAAATTAAGTCTACTGACCGCTTGCTTTTTGCTTATAATCATCTGTATGTTTTAATATTGCATAGTTTTTAAATAAAGCCTTATATAGTAACAAAAACAGATCAGTCTGGTTTGATTTATTTTTCACCAGCATCAGACTTGGTCCTCAGGCTTTGGAAATACCATGGCAGATGAAAATACAGAATTCTTTAGTAACTGGTAAGTAAAGAATAATTATGTTCTCTGATGAGTCATTCAAAACAAGCAGATAACTTGCTCTAACTTGCTTCCAGAGAGATTTTGTGAATAGTGGCATTGCATGGCACCATGACATGGATTCAGGCCTGGACTGCATGTTGGCTCTCAGTTTGCAGAGTGATGGATACTCTGTAGCTGGAGGTGTAGACAACAGCCTGTTGAGTGATATCTGGGAACAAATGCCATCCAACACCTCTGCTTACACTGCACTTTCTCCACCCAACAACAACAACCTCCCACTCTTCACATCTGGGACAGGTTCCAGTGCAGTCCAGGACCATGGTCAAACAGGTTGATCTCAATTAAATGGAAATCTTTGACCTGAGTTTGTTAATAGTTTTGTTTCTTAATGCTATTGTTTTCTTTTTAAAAGACACAATGCTGCCGTGTGAGTTTTGTGAAGAGCTGTTTCCTGAAGATGACCTCATTCTGCATCAGGTTTGTGCTTTCATTCATTTCATTATTAATATTTTTGTTCTGTCTGGACATTGCAGAAAAAAAACTCTAGGTGTTAACATGCTCCACAATAAATGGTGCCAGTCAACACTGGGCGCGGTTAATATGAAAAAATTGTAAAGTAAACTTTAGACTGTCTGTGTCTTCCCTGCCATTTCTTTTCACTTCAGTGATGTACATCCATTTATTTTGTCAGTAGCTATAATTCATTAAACATGTAGCACAGTTTAACCACATTCCAAACTGAGGCTCTGTTGGATTTATATATGCTGACTGTGGGTGGTATTTAAATTCAGACAAGTGATTGTCATTGTTTACGATACCATACCATAAACAATGTGGCCATTGAGTGAAACCAGCCACTAGGGTGCACAAGCCAGTGTTTTATAGTGCCGGTTCCAAGCCAGGATAAATGGTATGGGTTGCGTCAGAAAGGGCATCCGGTGTAAAACCTTTCAAATCAATAATGCAAATTAAAACTATTTCCATACCGAACAGTGCTGTTGACCAACAGGGTACTGATGATTGATCCGGATCACAGTACCAGTCAAAATATTCTTGCTGTGCGAGGTGTCTTCAGACAAGGAATGGAAAAAGCCGGTAGATGGTCGATTCGTTTTAATAGCAAAACGTCAAACAAAACAGGTCCAACAATAAAGCAAAATAAACAACTGGAGAAGTATCCAAGGAAATCTCGTACAACAGTTGTTAATACGCAAATCCTCAAGAATAACTTCTAAACTTTCTAATACCTGTGTGGGGGGAGTGTGGGGGCTAGGCCTCTTGTGGCCAATCATATTATTGTTCTTGTATGATGTTATGCCTGCAGTCGCCACTATGTGGCGCTGCTGCTCCATGATTCTGTAGTGGTGAAGTACAAGTCTATAACCCTTTTGTTGCTGAGCGGGGGTTATCACAAGGGAAGTGGACGGAGCCATAAAGTCCAGTCAACCACAGGTGGTCATGTAGATGAAAAGGAATGGATGGCTTCGGGGTTCCCTGTGAGAAGGTAGATTGGGAGATCTCCCATTGTTCCCAGGGAGTAGAGGTGTTTTAGAAAGTTGGTGTGAAGAGAATTTGGGGAAATTCTCTTTGAATGTGTGGGGCTATGTGACTGTGTCTGCTCGGGAGAGCCTTTTGGTGTAGCATCTTCCTGCTGCAGACCCAACCAAATATGAAAACCACTGAAATCTAACAACAGAGAAGAAGAGCAGGGCGTTTGGTTAGGAGAAAAGAGAAAAGAAGAGAAAAGAGGAAGGATAGAACTGTTGGTGTCATGCCCGCTGCAGCGCTGCAATCAAGAGATTGGGTCCACCTGCGCTCATCGGCTGTCGCTGCTGAGCGAGCAGTGTATTTAAGCTGCAGCCACACACCTCGCTGCCAGATCGTCTTGTCTGTTTACGAAGGCTGCTCGTCCTCGTTCAGTTTCCAGTTGTGGGGATTTCCTGCTGTCCAAGTCTTACCTGTCGTGACGATCCACGCCCGTTCTCACCTGCTCTATGGACGAGATTCATCCTGCCGTTGTTGAGGAGAGTTTCTGCAGTGTTCTGCTCTGCCTTTCCGCTCCTGTTTTAGTTTCCGCTGCTCCACAGTCCAGAGGAAATCCACCGCAGTGACTGAGGCCGCTAAGGTGGCGTTCACCATTAACCACCTTATAGGGAGGGCTCAACTGTGGGGAATAACGGAGTGGGATCTCCAGACCTCAGCCTGCGCCTCCTTTCTGGAATTTTCCCAGGAGCTGCGCAAGGTTTTTGGGCCTCCAAGACTGGGACTTGATGTTGCTGGGGGCTTGCTGGAGGTTCGTCAAGAGACAGGTGCTGTTTCGGATTATGCCATAGACTTATTATTCCATAGAAAGGAGAGGCAGAGTGAGGGGAATTAACCTGCTCTGTGCGACGCTTTTCTCCGGGGTCTGAACACAAGAATAAAGGATGAGTTGGTTTCACATGATCTCCCTACGACTTTGGACGCCATCATTGAACTTACCTGCCGCATTGATAGATGCATTCAGGCGAGGCGCCAGGAGCGGCACTGGGTGGGGGTCTTTCTGCAGAGCCGTCCGGTGATTTGGAACCAGTGCGCCAGGGCTGTGGGGAGAGCCCTGAGCCCATGCAGGTGGGCCGGACCCGTCTCTCTCCCGGGAAGCGGAATTTACGTCTCAAGGGGAGTTTATGTTTGTATTGTGGCCAACCAGGACACTTCTTATCCAAGTGCCCAGTAAAAGAGCAGGCTCACCAGTAGAGGGAGGAATTCTGGTGAGTCCAACACCATCATCCTCCCTTCCACGTCCATATCTATCTGCCCAGCTGCTGGTTGAGTGGGAGCCCATCCTGTCAAAGTGTTAATAGACTCTGGTTCCGATGCCAACATAATGGACGTCCGAGTGGCAAGACAATTGGAAATGGGGTGTGACCCTTTGCCTAACCTGACTCCAGCCCAGGCATTGGACGGGCACGTTTTAGGAACTATTACCCACCTGACTGGGCCCGTTGGGTTCTTGATTGCAGGTAACCACCAAGAGACTATTCAGTTCCACATTCTGCCTTCCCTTGTCCATCCGATTATTCTGGGTTTTCCATGGTTAACCAAACACAATCCCCACCTCGATTCGGTCCCAGGAACTGTTTTACAGTGGTCGCAATCTTGTTGCCAGCTGTGCCTCAAGGGAGCAGGATGCCCTCTGCTTTTGTCACTGCCTGTTTCAGCAACAGATC